AGTCATGGGTCTTGCTACCCTTTTTATATTTGGCTCAATTTATTTTTCAAATTGTAAAATACTATACACATGTACAGAGATAGCAAGCCTTAAGGTAAAACTTTGACCAATGGCTTGCTGAATCACAGTGGGGAAAACAGAGCAGCTGAAACAACCAAAATATTTGACATTTCCAGATTCTTAAATTATTAAAAAGTATTTCTGTATTCTTCAGTTATTTTATGGATTTAGTCAATGATTAAATGAGTCAGGAATTAAATTCCCTGTCTCATGTATCTGGAGTTGCAGCAGGTGCTTGGCTTAGCATATTAGTAAAGTAGTATCACTGTATTACTGACAGAGTGATATGCACCTGTAGAAAAAGGGAAAAATAAAACAGATAAAGCATAATTTGTATGCTTAATTGTATTTTCCTGAACAACAAATAACAAGTGGCCATAACAAGCAGGCTGTTAGTCACCAGTTGTACCACTATAGTTAACGAGTTGCACTTTTCACTGGAAATCATATTTTAGGATTCAGTCTCTATTAGGAATTATAAATAGTTTTAATAATTGATTAAAAGGTAACATACGTGTACAAATGGTAAAAATTAAACTTTTCATCATCTTGAAGAAAGAGCTCTGGCATGGGTAAATAATTTGTTCCATATGGGGTAAATGTATCCCATGTTATAGTTAAAAAGAAGCTTGCAAGTATTTATCCCACTTGAGTAGGTAGTTTAATAACTTCTGTAGTTTTGTAATGTAAGGGCTTGTCTACAGGTTGTGTCAACTACAGGTTAAACTCTCCCTGCCACGGTACAGGTAAGATGGAGTGAGTTGCTATATTCCTTGAAGTTTCGTCCTTTTCACTGCTTACCACTTCTAGATGGGAAGGTTAATATTCGGTTGGACAGAAAAGTCATTCCTTGCAAATGCATGTCAAATGTAACACCTAAAATATAAGAAAGTGGCCATTGCTGTGACCACTAGGACAGAAGTAAAACAGGATTTATATCATGGCGGTAAATGAAACGTTCCTGGTGGTCACCAAAAATGTAGGTCAGGGAAGAGTACCACAAGGAACCATGGCAACAAAGGGGCAGGACTACGAGCAAGAATTCCAACATGCTCTCCCTCCCAGCAGCCAGGAACTCTTCCTGGTCTCTTCTACGTTACCACTCAAAATCCCGTAGATAAAGCCAACTCTCTCGTGATAGATGCTTGTTTAATAATGACATTTTACCAGTAGTACATTTACGTCTCCACTGTATCTATAAACAAAGTCCTTATAAGCAGGGGCGGCTCTAGCTTTTTTGCTACCCCAAGCACGGCAGGCAGGCTGCCTTCGGCGGCATCCCTGCGGGAGGTCCCCGGTCCTGCGGATTCAGCGGCATGCCTGCGGGAGGTCCGCCGGTCCCACGGCTTCGGCGTACCCGCCGCCGAATCCGCGGGACCGGCGGACATCCCGCAGGCATGCTGCCGAAAGCTGCCGAACTGCCGCCATCGCAGGGACCGGCAGGGTGCCCCCCGTGGCTTGCCGCCCCAGGCACGCACTTGGAGCACTGGTGCCTGGAGCCGCCGCTGTTTATAAGTAGTATAAAACTAGTAACCTTCTTGTTTATGGTCAATATTTTGAGAATTAAACAAACATGCATCCCTCCATCAAAGTCAGTTTTGATCCATTCAACTTTTAAATGGTGATTTTAGAATAAGATACATGCTTAAATTGCAGCAAAGGTGGTTTAGGTTGGACGTTAGGAAAAACTTCCTAATTATCAGGGTAGTTAAGCACAGGAATAAATTGCCTAGGAAGGCAGAATCTCCATCACTGGAGATTGTGGAATCTCCATCACTGGAGATTTTTAAGAGAAGGTTAGACAAACACCTGTAAGCGATAGTCTAGATAATACTTAGTCCTGCCATGAATGCAGGGGACTAGATTAGAAGACCTCTCGAGGTCTCATCTAGTCCTATGATTCTATAATACTCCTGCTCTCATGAATATTATAGAAGAAACTTAGAATTACCTAGGCAATCCATATTCTCCCATCAAAGAATGAATAGTATCAGTTTATGCTTAAGAAAGTATTTGTATATGTGATGAAGTGGAGAAACTGCTCTCTGGCATGGAAGGGGCTAAAGAGAGCCTTTGGATCCAGTTAGCCCCCTGACTCGTCATAGCTGCAGCCAATGCCTGGCCTGGAGGGGGAGGAAAACGAGAAACTGACTCAGTTCAGGGCTGACTGTCAAAGAGGCAGGAGATAGCTGCCTCCCTACCAGAGGGGAAGGATCACTAGCCTGCCAGTGAAAGCAGTCACCAGGAAATAAGTACCATCTCCCTGGCTAAAAGAGATTGTGGAGGAGACTTAGGAGCACCTGGCCTAAGAGATAACTCGGTAACTGTAGCACAGAGATCTTGTTGGGTTCCAACCCTGCCAAACTTACGGCTGCCCCACCCAGAATGAACCTGGGACCACAGCAGGAAACCACCCAAGGTGCACAAGGGGGAACTGCAAGAGACAAGCCATCACAGCAACTTGGATTATAGGGGCTATGCCCCAAACTGAAGGGACATCGGTAGGAAGGAGCACAGGACAGTGGACGTAGACTCCCCACACGAGATCCATAATTCAGGGGTTGATTCACACAGGCCATGGACTAGGACCGGCTGGAGTGGGAGGGACCAGGTTCCACTACCCCAAAGTCTCAGGCACCTCGAACAGGGAAGCCAGAGACCGGAAGTCACGCATTCCAACCAATAGGCCACCCGGTTCTCCCTGACCCGTTACAATACAGTACCTACATAAAATCGCTAAAGTATTTTTCAATTAAATGTACTAATATATACATGTTTAAAATTAAGGTCCTAAAAATTTTAATCACCACAGCATGTTTTAAACATGGATGACAGAATTTTTCCCATGTTATATATAAAGATTTTGACAAAAGACCTGCTAACTTTCAGTAACAAACAAGTTTCTGGTTCATTTGACAGAGACGGAAATGTATCTTGAGCATATATCCAAAATTGTGACAACTTTTTAAAAGGATCTTTAACTCATATCTCATTAACTGCTATTCTATTATATACGAATATTTGTCAACATACAGTACTATCAATACAGTGCCATACAATATATCCTTCCCTACCACCTTTTATACAGCATATCCTAAAGCACTTCACAATCCCTAAAGACAACTCAAAAGTTAACTCCCTGTTGAACTAGATAAAGCACACAAAATGAATGTTTTGATAAACAAATGAATGAACTGCTCCATAACAATTAACTACTCCCTTCAATCTTTGCCCTATATAATGCTGTTTTGATCAATACCTGCAGTTATCAAGATTTAGATAGCTACTACAGAACAAAAATGTTTAAACTTAAATGTATTTTTTATTACTGCAAACTAGTAACTAAATGATTCTAGGTTTCCATATTTAGATGTATACAACACTGGTAACTACTTTTCAAGAAACTTTCAAATAAATGTATATAATTCTCTGTTTTTGTGAACATTTTCTAGTCCTATTTATGGCACTGCTACTGTTGTACTATCATTACACTTACACTCTCCAGCTCTTCCTCTTATCGCATTCCAATCCATTCACTAATCAATGCTTTAGTTTCCTTCTTTTGCACTCAGCTTCATGCCTTCTTACATGAGACTGCTTATATCTGGGGCTTCCTTTCTGTCTCTATCCCATTATAACTCCTCCCTTTTCTCCTACAAGTTCCTCCTCAAAACAGACTTCTTCAAGGAAGGTTTATAAGCACTCTTCTTTTATTATAATAATAATAAATGAAACTCTCAAGACTTGTGCATAGTCACCTAAACTGCAAGTTCTTATTGCTGACACTCCGCTAGCCCTATTCCACACACTGTTTACCATCTATTCCTAATCCCCCCCACCCATTTTAGGGCTTTAATTTATAATCTGATTTGCATGAGCAGACAATTGTACTCATGCATAGTCTCATTAACTTTAATGGGACTTCATGCAGGCTCAAGGATCCAATCACACCGATCAGATTGCAGAAGTGAGGCCTTGAATTGTAAACTCTACTGAGCAAGAATTGTACTATTATTTGTCTGTAAAGAGAAGAAGGATGATCTTCTGATTAAGGAATTGGATTGGGTCTCAAGAGATCTTGGTTCTGTTCCCAGTTCTGTCACGAACTCTCCTGTGGGACTCTGGGCAAGTAACAATTTCTATTCCTTCAATCCCCCAATTGAGAAAAACACTTCCCTTTCTTATAGGTGTACACTAATGTATCTGAGGTGCTCAGATACAACAGAGATGAGGGCACAGAAAAAACAGTAAATAATGGCCATATACACTTATAGCATAATACCGTGTAAAATAATAACGAAAACAAAAATTATTAGATCTAGTATAGACTTGTCTAAAATAATGAGACCATTCAATTCATAAAAAAGGAGCTCTTATCTAAATATCTGACATTACAGTACGAAGAAACATTTGCCTTCTTGACAACTATGGCATAAACTTTAATTATTGGGATGGTGACTGGAACATTTCTAAATAGAAACAAATAATGATGTTTCTTTTGTAATATGGAATATTTCAGTTTATAAGCATTTTTGCCTTCTCACCAAACTGACACAGACAGCCACTTCTTCACAGACTGAATTGAACAGGAAAGCCTCTGCAAGCGTACAGTACTTTCGCCTATCTCCGCCAGTTCCACATAGGGGAATATAAAATACACCTCTACCCCGATATAACGCTGTCCTCGGGAGCCAAAAAAATCTTACTGCGTTATATGTGAAACCACGTTATATCGAACTTGCTTTGATCCGCTGGAGTGCACAGCCCCTGCTCCCCCTCCCCCCCCGCCCCGGAGCACTGCTTTACTGCATTATATCCAAATTCATGTTATATCGGGTCAGAGGTGTATAGTACACAGTGCAGCATTCTATAATACAAAGATTTTCTGTACTTAATATTGTTGTGTAAAGTTTCAAAACAACAAAATTTTCCTTTATTACCTTTCAGCATCGTTCTTCCAGTTGACCCTCCAAAGATGTTTAGAAGACCACTTCTTGCTCCCAGTGATGTAGTTGCTTCTAGCAGAGCACCAGTGATAAAGTTAGAGAGTGACGTCCTTTGTAAAGTGGCACGGTATTCAGAGCAAGCACTTTCTACACATGGTTTTACAAAAGAGACATTTTTGCATCTGCGATCTGCATTTAGCGTCGGAAGCTCTCTCAGAGGATGGAGACAATATTCAAAAGTATCTTCCGCCGCCTCTTCCTCCTTCACTGCATTGTAGATCTGTGAAGAATATAAAAGCATGAAGTGTTAGTTCAATTGCTGAGGACAATAAATTGGACCTCCCAAAAAAAATCAGCATGATTTCTTGTAAAAGTTCAGTGGGCTCAAAGAGCAAACACTCTACTAGCTAGAACATTGTATTTATGTATTAAACTGGAAAATTCTAAGAATCCAAACCTGATTTGCAAAGATTTTGAGTGTGGATCTTAAACTAGCTATTTAAATAAGGCTGTTTCCTAATAGGGTGCTTAAAAAACTACTTTAGAGTGTCCCAATCCAAACAGACATTACTGTTCATCATATTACTAAAATATGCCATGAAGAGAAACTTAGCCAACATTTAAATTAATGATTATTGACACTATTATAAGACTAGACATTTTTTGAGTAATGAATAATGTCCTACTGATTTCAATGGCAGTAAAAACAGTTTCATTAAGAGGTGTTTTTTTTGGTTTAGGGATTTTTTTTAATCAATAAGAACAATCTTTCAAAATGTTCTGGTGTCATGCTCATTACCTACATCCAGCATACAGGGCCGGCTACCGTCCCTCGGTACCTCTCAGCGGGAAGGACCTGCCGCTGAATTGCCGCTGAAGAATGAAGCGGCGGCGGTAGAGTCGCGGCGGAAGTGCCACAGATCGCGGTCGTGGCTTTTTTTTTTTTGGGCTGCTTGGGGCGGCAAAAACCCTGGAGCAGGCCCTGCCAGCATATGCCTAGATTCTCTGCCTAATATTGGTTTAGTTCTCTTTTTCCAATACTCATGCTCAGACACTAAATTAATTCCATGGCTTAGCAACCAAGTAATTTTTGTTTACTTTAAAAGAGCCTAATGACCAAAGCAAAAAGCTTCCAAAAATCTTTTTCTTGTAATATACAAGTAAACACTTGATTTTTCACATTCTTATATGGCTAAATTGCCGATTAATATTAATAATCTGTTTTAAAGATTTACTTCAAATTAAATAATGTGAATTAGCGAACCAAAAGTTAATGTAGCAAAAGGTCATCTAAATAGTTATCAGTATGGATACTGAGATAGCTTACAAAGGCCTGTTCCGAAAATAGACAGTAGTGCAAGCAATTTACACCTTTGGAGTTAAATCATTATTCTCACTTCACTCAATAAATCTACTCTACCTGAAATAATTACTTCTGAATTTAACATTTAAGTAGTTTTAAAACCGACAAGTTAATCTTACTAATGCTGTAGATTAAGGAAGGAATTTTACTAGGTGAGAGACTGACTGCATTTGCTTTGCTTTTTAAAATTATTTTATTAGCTCTTGGGTTTCCTTTCTCTTCACCCTCACAGCAAAGTTCACTACTACAGTATTTCCAGAGATGGTGACATGAAAGCAAAGAGAACACATTATAAAGAAAGGGGAAATCTAGATACAGAGCAGCAGAAGATAGGCTACTCAGGATGAACTGTGAGGGAAAGTATTAACAAAATGTACAAACACAAACGTTTTCCCATAAATACGGCATCCAAGGTTGTACTAATGTTACTAGAATATTTTTTATAAATGCAATGGATTTTTCCTCATACACTATGTATGACAATGAGACAAATTCTGCTGCATTCTGAAATCAGAATGGAAGTGCATTTGAAGGGAGATTTTCAAAGTTACAGATGGTAGTTACAGCAAAGAGTCCTGTGGCACCTTATAGACTAACAGACATATTGGAGCATGAGCTTTCGTGGGTGAATATCCACTTCATCGGATGCATGTAGTGGAAATTTCCAGAGGCATCCGACAAAGTGGTATTCAGCCATGAAAGCTCATGCTCCAATACGTCTGTTAGTCTATAAGGTGCCACAGGACTCTTTGCTGCTTTTACAGATCCAGACTAACACGGCTACCCCTCTGATAGATGGTAGTTATGCACCTAACTTCAATGAAAGTCCATGGGAGGGGTAAGCACTTAGCTGTCATTGTATCTTCCTCCTACAAATGACTTGATCTCCATAATACTCTTAGCACTAATTGAACAGATGAGAGAGTCCTGAGCCCAGACCACCTTGTAAAGGTGCATAGGTACTGTGATATCTGGACTCAGACCATTAGTTCAGCCCTTCAATAACTTTGTACTGTGATTCCATCAGATCTTGCTAGCTAATCAGTATAAGGCTGGTTCATTACTTAGACACGAGACTACCAAAAAAACCCTAGGTGGTCGAGAGTGGTGCTAGTGATTCAGGCACTTTTCTTTAACCAATGCCCTGGAGATACCATCTTCCGGATAAGATGCAAAACTAAGATACTTTGTTCCATTAAAGATCCCTTTTATATTCGACCTCGGAGTGTTAGCCATGGTGTTGTGGCCAAAGTCCAACTTATATATTGTGACAAAGTTCCTTCTCTATCTTGGTGGGTCCTGCACTTATTGGCGGATTTTCTTGACTCTCAGATTCATCATGTGGGTTGGGGAACAGCCCAGAGACCTTCCCCTCTGGTAGAACCCACAGTCCAGGTCAATTGGGAGATTTGGGGGGAACCCGGTCCCGCCCTCTGCTCCGGGTTCCAGCCCAGGGCCCTGTGGATTGCAGCTGTCTAGAGTGCCTCCTGGAACAGCTGCACAACAGCTACAATTCCCTGGGCTACTTCCCCATGGCCTCCTCCCAACACCTTCTTTATCCTCACCACAGGACCTTCTTCTTGGTGTCTGTTAATGCTTATACTCCTCAGTCCTCCAGCAGCACACCCTCTCACTCTCAGCTCCTTACACCCACACCACAAGCTGAAGTGAGCTCCTTTTTAAACCCAGGTGCCCTGATTAGCCTGCCTTAATTGATTCTAGCAGCTTCTTGATTGGCTGCAGGTGTTCTAATCAGCCTGTCTGCCTTAATTGTTTCCAGAAAGTTCCTGATTCTTCTGGAACCTTCCCTGTTACCTTACCCAGGGAAAAGAGACCTACTTAATCTGGGGCTAATATATCTGCCTTCTATCACTCTCCTGTAGCCATCTGGCCTGACCCTGTCACAATATGTATTTCTTTTTACTACAAAATTTCCCATCCAGGGGCAAATGTACAATCTTTATAAAAGCAATATAAAATAGGGTCCAAGGTCCCAAAATAAGGACTCTCCCAAACCACCACAGCTCAGACTATAAAGTTGTACCAACCAATTACTCATTACCCCTCCTAAAACATATAAAACAGATGAGTCTTGCAGCACAACCTGAAGGTTAACAAATCCAGACTCTGGAACACCAACAGAAGCAAATTCCAGTGTCAAGTATCCCTCACTGAAAACACTCTACATTCAGTCCCATCACAATTAAACAGAGCAATGTTAGTTCAGTCAAGTTGTCCTTGTTCTCCAACACCAGCTTTTATTTTGATCAGACTGGAGGCAGTCTTCTCAGTTCAAGGACCTCGTCCCTGGATCTTCCTCACCAAATTCCTCTAACTATCTGCAAGTTTTGGTGTAAGGCTATCAGTTCATGCTTGTCCACTTTGCCTTCCTTATTCACAAGCACTTCCTATTTAGGGTTGTTGTTTTTTTAAAATTCATTGACTTTGTTATCATTAACAAAATGGCTGCTTATCTCAGATATATTGGGCTGAATTCTATTTGTTCTTTTAACTTTCATATATATAATTAATTATAATGATATATAAATATAAATTCGTAAAGCACTTTGTAATTTTCAAGTGAAAGGTGCTATAGACATGCACAGTAATGTAATGGTAGCACAAACAGTACTACTTGCTTAACTGTTTTTTTCTAGGTTTGCTTTTGGTCAAGTGCCCTTCCCCTGCCCCTCAGTAGTGTGTTTTACTCCCAATGCCTCCTCACGCACATTTAAAATTAGAATTTAACTTGAAATTACAGAAAAATTCTATCTATAAATGTGTGCATTAGGCTTCAATTTATTTCACTGGCAAACCCCACTCCATTTTGCCATTTCTATATTATATCAATGAGAGATAAACAGCAACCATTAGTGGTTTACTTTCATTTATTTTACCATATGGCAATATGAACAGAGTTTTACTACAGTACAACTAGACTAGACCTATAGTTAAAGGCATGGTTGTAACTCTAAACATAATTTGAACAGATGCATAAAAAGATATAAATTAATGTGGTGATATTTTTGATACCTTGTACCAATTCTGCAGTCTTCATTCAGGCAAAATACTCATTGAAAGCAACTGATGTTTTGTTTGAGCTAGTGTGGCAGAATTTGGCCCCCAATTAATACATTGGAGTTCATTTTAAGCCATAATATTTGGGACTCAAATATAATGCAATGTTTATTAAAATAAATATTTTAATCTTAAATTTAGTATTTGTTTATTACCAGTACAACAACTTTGTGAAAACAATTTCAATTTTATTTAGTCTATGATATAATAATAGTAAATTATGTAATTGATAATTTAATATCATATTTAGTAATGCAATTCAATTACTCCCGGACAGAAAACTCTCAGACTTGTTAATACAGAATATAAACCACAAATGATCTCCATGGATTTAATCTTTTCCAAGGTGAGTCACTTCTGAAGCTCTTAATTTTATTAGAAATACAGCATCTGTGACTCATAACCCAATATTGAGGCAACCTGACTGACCTCTAAGGGCTCTTCCTTTCTAAAATTAGAAAACAATGAATGAGGTCTTTAGGCATTTGATGTCAACAGGATGAATCAAACTTAGCCTATTACTAGATAACAAATATAGATTTCTTAACTCCAGTGAGAATTTGATTGTGGCATTAATGTAATAGTATACTGAAATAAAGGCATGAGACCGTGTCACTTTTCCATAATTAATATTATTTTTCATCTTGTTTCTTAACTTTTTCTAACATTCTATGTAAAGCATTAAGGTTTTAATTGTGGCACTTTATTTTATTTTTTTAGAATACAACTGTTTTCTGAATTCTATACAATCATAGAATCATAGAAGATTAGGGTTAGAAGAGACCTCAGGAGGTCATCTAGTCCCACCCCCTTCTCAAAGCAGGAGGTTGGACTATATG